CCTCACCCGCTACCCAAGGGAGGCGGTGACCCTGGCGAAAAGCATACTCTTCGGGGCTCCGAACATTTCGAACGGATAGGCCACCACACACACAACAACAACAACAACAGCAGCAGCAACATCACCACTACTACCACAACATAGGCCCTACCACGTTTCTTCATAATGTACTCTTCTTGTGCATGTTTACCCTCGGCGTCTGGTAGGATTAGTATCTTGAAATGTCAAAACGAAAGAGTCGATGGGAACGAGCGAAGGAGTTGGACAATAGTAAAATTAAAGAACGAGAAGATCTAAAAAAATTAACAAAACTGACTTCAATTTTTCATGTTAAAGAGAAAAGTAGTAGCGAAGCTTCTTCATCTCTAATCGACAGCAACCAAGAAGACTTACTGCTGAAGCCGAGCAAGCTGAGGCTAAAACTGATAATACTTCCGAAACAAGAGCAAATGATGTCGGGCTTCCAGGTGATATAACGGAAATGTGCTTGAAATGTGCCTAACTCGCGGAGCAAACCAGTTTCGGAATTTGGCCAGTGACTATCCAGAAACAAAACGAGACTTCTCTGGCGTGAATCGGTATTTAAATAACAGTGCATTCAAACGTGTTTTGTCAAATGTAGAAGTAGTTGATCGTGACTAGCTCGTATATTCTCCAACCAAAGCCTTTGTTTTCAGTTTCCCTTCTTTTTGTTTTCACCAGACCGTGTACATCTTTCTGGTCAGGGGTTTACAGATTGGAAGAATATAGCCATCTATTTAAAAGCACATGAAACAAGTCCCAAACATATAAACCCAGTAGTGTTGCTGCTGGGCGAGTTGACGAGCGGTTACACCAAAACTTACAGGAACAACGAAAATGCTGGAAAAAACATTTTGTTACGTTGTATTAAGACAATCATTTTCCTTTGTGAGAGACGGCTGGCTTTTCGAGGCAGTAATGAAATCGTTGGGTCTAAGGCCAGGACAATGGGAACTACCTGGGTATTTTAGAACTTATTGGGCAGTTTGATCCAATTTTATCTCAG